TCGAATCTCTCTCTCAAGAAGAATCGAAAATATGCAAAACTTTATTGATAAAACGTCTCCCTTAAACCTTACAAAGCAAGCCTATTTATAGGCTAAAGTGACTAAAATCCTAAAGGCTAGGAAAAGGAAAAAGTCGGCCCATGTTTTTGGAACAAGATGGGCCGGCCCATGCTCTTACTTAATCATTAACTAATTGCTAACTAATTGATGGGGCCTAAGGCCTTATTCGCTTGGTGGCCCGCTTGACTCTTCGTGGACTTGGATCATGGTGTAAACGACTCGATTGTCTCTCTCCAAGCCCTCAATATCTTAGTGAACTCCATGTTGGTCTTGAACGTTCCTTGAATTGCTTAGCCCGTGCACATGTGACTGGGCCTAATGGTACTTGAACTGGGTCATTGGTGGGCCAAGGTCCGTGCACACATCAGTCCCCTCCTCTTAAGAAGGATTTGTCCTCAAATCTAGATGGGGATGGAAGATACTAACAAGAGTTAGTAGTATGACAACTCAAATCGATAGTGCGTTTGGAAGTCAGCCACGTTGGGAACAAATGAAAGGTCACGAGCCAAGTTAAATGTCGTTTGGTCAGCTTCATTAGGCTCTCAAACAAGGACATTCTCCAAGGTAGGAAGGAACGTGTATAAGGCTTGTGAACGTTCCAGGTTGCAACCCAAAGCTCGCTAATTAGCCTTCGCACCCGGACATTCACATGCACTTCATAACGATATTCATTGAAACTAGAAAAGCCTCGAACCTGGTTGTGCAAGGTGGTGTAATTTAGCCCCAGGCACTGAATCGGCACAACTTGCCACTCTGGAGGTGGGACACTGAGCCACCCGTGTTGCACATCCATAGAAACACGAACTAGTGAGGTAAGAACAGCACTCGGATCTTGATTGACACCCTTGCGGGCATCACCCAACATAAGCGGCAAGAATGAAGTGAAATTCACCCCATACGAATCACATGCATTCGCGTAACACGCAGCTGGAACAAGCATGAAATCAGGCTGCAACTCTTTAGTCGTAGTTGGAAAATTTTGGATAGCTTTACAATACTTCTCGTCAAAATAATGGGCTCGAATGACTCCTCCCATGGCGCGGACAGGTTTGAATGGAGATTGTTCCATGGATTGATACCAAAGAGATTTAGCTCCTAGGAGACAAACTCCATGGAAACTCGCAAAGTGTCCAAGTGACTTCGGAATGGAACATGCCATGACCAACTCTACTTGACTTTGTTTAATCTGCACAAAAGAAGAGGTACTAAACACAACACATGTTAGCTTGTTAGCAAACAAAACGTCCACACTTTCAACTTTTGCGAACATGGCCAACTCCTCCTCTTTACTCAGCAATAAGGCCAAATTATTCTTGCCTTTTCCCACTTCATTCTTCTTGGACATTTGTTCATTTATTGCACTTGAGTTCGGATTTTTATTGGCTAGCTCTTGTTCATGGCTCGGTGGCAACTCATTCGTACATGGCTCTTCAATCAACGAGGGACTAGACTGAATTTTCCCCTTATCACCACCAGTTGGCACATGGGTAAGTTGCTCCAAGTGTGAATCCAACACTTGGCTAAGTCTTTCCATCATATCATCAATCAATGCTTCAGTCCGACTCCAGAATTTATCCTTTGATTCACGAAGCTTTGCCTCAATTCGAGAGTTCGCGAACGCCTTGCCTTGATTGTCAAGGCACTTCGTAGATGAATCTTGTTTGCTTGAGGTTGATCTCAATTTAGATGTTCGGTGCAAACTTCTTTGCTCCTTCTCATACTCATCACAATCTCGTTTATACCTTTCATATACACACGAAGCATGGTAACGTTCCATCTCCTCCCGGAGTGAGCGAAACTCACGTTGTGAACTAGATTCCATGGAACTGTGCTTGGGAGTAGGCCGCTTGGAACCCCTCCTCTTGAGAGGCTCATTCTCCAAGAATTCTGGGTTGTATGAGTAAGAGGCAACTCCCCTTGGCATGATTACGTGACCTGCAAAAATGGTTAGCAAAGAAAAGGAGATTCCTCACGACACACAAGCTCACGTGTATGTACTCATCACTCGTGTATCACTCAAAGCACTCAAATAAGTTTACCAAAATTCCTTTACTTGTCGGATTGGGTAGTTGAGAAATGCCGCACAAGTCCAATAAACGTCACCGACTTTTCCCTCAAGAGTAATCACGGAGATGTAGGAGAAAGTGTAGGGAAGTGTTCCTAAAAACTAGGAGAAAATATAGGAGAAAGTGTAGGAAGTGTTCCTAAAATCTAGGAAGAGAATATAGGAGAGTTTCCTAAAGTGGATGAGAGAATATAAGAGAGTTTCCTAAAGTGGATGAGAGAGAGTCCTAAAAATGGATGAGAGAAAGGTGAGTTTCCTAAAAATGGATGAGAGAATTTTATGGATGAGTTTCCTAAAAATGGATGAGAGAATTTAGGAAAGTTTCCAAAAAAATGGATGAAAGAGTTTAGGAAAATTTCCTAAAAATGGATGAGAGAATATAGGAAAGTTTCCTAGAATGGATGAGAGAATATAGGAAAGTTTCCTAAAATGGATGAGAGATTATAGGAGAGTTTCCTAAAATGGATGAGAGAATATAGGAAAGTTTCCTAGAATGGATGAGAGAATATAGGAAAGTTTCCTAAAATGGATGAGAGATTATAGAAGAGTTTCCTAAAATGGATGAGAGAATGTAGGAGAGTGTTCCTAAAATATAGGAGAGAATGTAGGAGAGTGCCCCAAAATATAGGAGAGTGTCCAAGTGAAAACAAAGAAACCCTAGCGCAAATGAAACCCTAGCCGCAAGTAGACACCCTAGCCGCAAGTAGAAAACCCTAGCCGCAAGGAAAACCCTAGCAAGAGAAGGAAACCCTAGCAAGATAAGGAAACCCTAGCAGCCGTCACGTTATTGTTCTTGCTGCCCAAGCGACAACCAATTAACGAGACAGATTTGGGAGCAACGTTGAAACACCAACAAACCAGAATTTTTTTGATGCACAAACGACTCAAACGCAAGAAACAAGTGGACAGAAATTATCAACAAACTAGACACAACACAAAGGAGATAACACACTAACAGATTTTGTGTTCGGATGAACAGTAGCGGTGAACAGTGCCTGATGAACAGTGAACAGTGCCGGATGAACAGTGTCGGATGAACAGTGACGTTTTTTTTTTTTTTTCTATAAAAAAAGGCAGCGGAGAAATAAGGAAAACTAGGACAAGACTACGGATATAACGGAAGATACCTCCACCAAAGCTCTGAAGCCAACTGATACGTTCCTCGATCAACACGTTTCGAGACACGTAGCACGTTTGCCCAAGGATCTAGCGAGGATGTCCAACGCTTGGAATTGCGGGATCTAGAACCAAACGGACGACACGATTTGATTCAAGACGGTAGACGACACTCCGATGAAGGTGAATACTCCAGGGGAATAGGTCGGTAGAACAATCTAGGACAGGATGCAAGACTGCTCAAAACCCTTGCCAAAGCAAGTAAAGGGGTCGAATCTCTCTCTCAAGAAGAATCGAAAATATGCAAAACTTTATTGATAAAATGTCTCCCTTAAACCTTACAAAGCAAGCCTATTTATAGGCTAAAGTGACTAAAACCCTAAAGGCTAGGAAAAGGAAAAAGTCGGCCCATGTTTTTGGAACAAGATGGGCCGGCCCATGCTCTTACTTAATCATTAACTAATTGCTAACTAATTGATGGGGCCTAAGGCCTTATTCGCTTGGTGGCCCGCTTGACTCTTCGTGGACTTGGATCATGGTGTAAACGACTCGATTGTCTCTCTCCAAGCCCTCAATATCTTAGTGAACTCCATGTTGGTCTTGAACGTTCCTTGAATTGCTTAGCCCGTGCACATGTGACTGGGCCCAATGGTACTTGAACTGGGTCATTGGTGGGCCAAGGTCCGTGCACACATCACATTGTGCTGACTTTTCTCAGATTCTTGTACTTACTGACTGGGAAAAGACATTTTTTCGCTGTTCTAGTCAACGAGACTGGATTTCCTAGAGTTCACTCTGGTTGTCAAGTCCTAGTCATTTGTTGGTAGATGGCATCAAATGCTATTACTGTAGTCTCTTACTGCAATATATATATCGAATTTCTTAATGATAGTTCTCTTCTTGTGCCAGATTTGTTGTTGTTAACAAATTTCAGCTTTGAAGATTGAAGAGCAGCAGATCAGTACCAAAAGCAGCCCTTCTTCAGAAACTTGTATTGGATATAATTCCTGAACTTCTTCTCTCTTTTACGTAAAACAGTGTGTAAATGCACTATGCCTTTTGTAATTCTAGCAGTCACTATGGTTGCTGAAACTTTATACATTTATACCTCAGATTCAAGATCCCTGAGATGCGGGTTGGACAGGTCCGGAACTGAAAAGGGTTGTCATTTGTTAATCAGTGAAGAATCATTTGTACTGTCGATTTTGGGAGCTTAGCTACTTTTGCCTTTTTTATCGGTTTGTTGCACATTAGGAATAAAATTTCTGCATATCCCCTGTTTTGTTTAATTCATCATACTATGTAGCATTTTAGCTCAATTGCTTTCTGATGCTGCACTTTAGTACCTTCTTTTATTTCTCTGCCTGGAAAAAAGCGGGTTCTTTTCGTTGCTTCTTGTTTTGGTTGAGTTGCATTTGATTTGATCTGGGTAAAAGTGAAAAAGGCAAAAATGAAACTTTCTGTAAGAAAATGTAATCTGACCAAGTATTATTATCAGTTACTAACTTGTGAAACAGATGTTTTATTGGTTTGGCTTGAAGGCAAAAAATTCGTACATAGGATCACAGTTTCATGAGGACTAGTTAAAATATACATTGGACGCAAACTTTTCACATTTCCATTATTCACGAAAACACAATCTATTCGAAAAGGGATTATTTGGACATCTGCAATCAGCCTGCCTCTTGCTGGCCTTCTCGAGTTATCATAAGAAGGGGGGCTAAGGCTTGGCCAAGCTTGAAATGTGCCTCAGTTATATTTATCCTGGCAAAACTATTATTTCTGGTCCCAGCTGAGAAAACTGCCAATGAATTTCACAACTAGAATTGGCACCCACTAAAAACCTCGTCCACCTAAAACTATTTGCAACATAATTCTGGAAATGATCAATCTTAGTGCCAACAGCCAAGTCTGCAAGAAACAAGTAAACTACAATGCGACACAGGTTGCAAAGATCCCAAACTCAGAGCAGAATGGAGCTATTAAATTCCAGACGTCCTAAACCAAATGTTGATTTCGCTTCTGTCCTAACTAAAGCCTTAACTAGGAAAATGTCCAAACATTGAATGAGAATGACTGTAGAATATGAAGCCTCGCCTGAATGCTTTTCATTGCAAAATTAGGACCAAAGTTCATTTTTTATAAACCCTCAATGAAAACTTCTAAAATGTTTAGAGGCACCGGTAATTTCTACCAGGCCCTCCATGATAAAACTCAGGATCCGCTATAGATTCACTGATATAAAATGTATCATAACAATCGTACTCATCAGCATAAGATGTATCATAACAATCAGGAAATCTTAGAGCTCCAAAACTTTCAATAACACGCATCCTCTTTATGTAGCTTGAGTTGCCGGATACCCAGTCAGAGTATTGTCCGCTGCCCATTTGCGTTGCAGTATGAGGATGAGTTCCAACTCTGGTGCTGTAAACTTCACCGCCCCGTTGAACGGTTACAGCATGGTAAGATAACAAATTAAAGAGTTCCTTAGGCCAATATCCTATATTGACTCTCTCCATAATTTACCCACCAGTTGCCGGTATTTGGATCCTGAATTAAGAGAAGAAAAGATAAGAAGATCATGAAAACTAAGCTTTGTGAAAATTAAGATAAAAGCAGATGAAAAGAGGGTCAGATTTTCACCTTAAAGATAAAAATAGTTATCTGAGATGGAAGTCCGGTAGGATTTGATATGGGATATATAGCGGCACCAAGTGCTATATCCTTGCTGACTTGTACAAAACCAGGCCAAGTAGCATCAAAGCAACCAGTTTTGACGGAACCATCAACCTAGCAGATGATTAGAAATAGAGACTTCAGCTGATACACATCACCGATCTATGGAGAAAAAGTTTTACAGAACTTAAGCCAATTATCCCATCTTAGATTAAAAGTGCTCGTAGTATGGCAACTATGATCAGATTAGCAACGTGACATAACAGGGCGGATATAGTTAATGCTCTACAGTTTTCATCCCATAGTTAGTGAATCAAAAGTACAATAACTTGCCGTCCAATATGTAAAGAGTCTAGTTTGTCTGTCCCCATAGACACTTGGATTCACCTGCAGCATTATGTTTACTTGATTGAGACACATTATATTCTCAAATTAAACCATACACAAAAGAAGAACTTCACAAAATCTGGAAAAGATGATAGAAGCATAAACTGACCGCCCACCCTGATTCAATGGCTTCATACTGCTTTCGAGGACCACTTTTGAGGGCAACCTGAGAAGTAGTGTACTCATCATCTAGTTCAACAGAAGGATTCCAGACCTTAATATTTCCTTTGCGTCCATAATATGCAAATCCCTCGGCGTGCAATATTGCCAACTACATTGATGTCAAAAAGTTAGATTTGCCATTTATGGTTCTGTCAATTAGCAAGTCATTTATGCCTTAGGCAACAAATTGAAGACACAAATAGATACTGTTAACACATTTATCAGATTCATGGCGTCCATACTGAGCGATTTATTTCTAGAAGGTATGTATGTATTCTTGCTCTCCATGAAGGGATCAGGGATGATACTTGGTTTCTTTCTTAGATGATCATCAACTGGAGTTTCTTTGCTTTTGCTATTATTTGGCATCCTCCTGATGGGAATAGTCCCTTCAGGACAGCTTCCACTTCTCTGCCATAGCTGTGGTGTGGCATCCACGTGTAAGTCTTTTTCTCTTCCATTTCTAAATGGTTCCAAAATTTCATTTTTATTTTTTGTCACCATTGTTGGATCATAAGCTGGTGTCATCTGGAAGTGGAAAATGCACTGGATTAATCAATGTTATGTGTAAATAGGTTTATAAGAAAATCTCATTGTCGAGTTATCTCACACAAGAAAAAGAGACCTGGATTTTGTGATTTCTCAGGGCTGGATGCTTGAAAGCAGGTTGCTTGTAGATGTCAATGCAGTCGATTACATCCCCATCTTCACTCTGAAAAATAATAAAGACTGATTTTGGTTGAGTTTCAATTTTTATCAATTAGGAATTTTCTGGAACTGCTGCAAGGAATTGCTTCTGTCCTGAAATTAAAGCCTTAACTAGGAAAAGAAAAAAATTTGAATGAAAATGACTGTGGAATATGGAGCCTTGCCTGAATGCTTTTTACTGCAAACTTAGGACCAAATTTCTGCATTGAGCCGGAGCCCTTCTCTAAAACTCCCCTGCCTATTACGGCCAAAGTGATTTGCAGCATTAGAACAAACATCCATTTGATCCCCATTACCACTGTGAACTGAAAGAGAAAGGAATCTTGGATTTTCAGGAATTGAAGGTAGACTGTCTCCTTGATTCTGTCTTGACCTGAATCAGAATTCTAATTAAGAAATTCATCAAATCTATTGGAGAAGCAGACAAATGTGGTTCATGGCATTTAATAGGATCTTTTACATTCACGAATACCTGACTTACCTTCTCGATCATTTGGATTTCATTTACATTGTCACATGTTCTCTATAATAGCTTGCAAAAAGGCCAACTGGCAATTAAGATGTCTAGTTTAATTCTTGGTACTGTTAAATTATAGGACTACTGAAAACCTTGGCTGCTGAAATCAGGTTCTTGAAGGCTGTCTGATGAAACTTTGGCATTTACTTTCCTTTGTCTAAAATTCTAGACTACAAAATCAAGACTGAGATTTATCGTTGATATCGCCCTCGGAAAAAACAGTCAGGAAGAGATAAGACAACATTAAACAAAGAAAGAACAGATTTTGCTATTATTTCAGATATGGGGCCACACTGATTATTTACGGGTAGGATTGTTGTTTTAGTTGTCTGCATCTCAATTACTATCATTAACCGTTGTCTGCTTTATCAGACTTTGAGATTATATTGAAGTGCTATAACTTTTCATTCACTCAATATTAAGTTTTAATATTCAGTCTCAATGTAAGAAATGTACTTTCAATTCTGTTGCTAGATTGTTGTTAAATGTAGATAGTTTACTGGCATATATAGGAATTTATTACTGGTTAAACCAACAATTGAAAGTACACTGTTTCGCAATCTAGTGTAAACACGTAAAGATTATATATATATATATATATGGAAACGACTATTTTTCTTGAGAATTAGTAATCATATGCTCAGCTGAATATGTTAACTTGACAGAGAAATAAAAAACTGTTGCTGTATAAATCCAAGTCCCAATTCCAACACTTCAGGTTGGTTATGTATACTGGTGGATGTAAAAGAATTAGTGCTTTCCTAGCAGCATTTTATGCTCTATACAAATAAGGGGAAAAAACAAAAGAGGAAATTATAAGACCTCATATATTTGTAATTTTCTTCTAGATTTTTTTTTTATATTGACCTATCAAAATAAAGAGATATGTACATATCAAAATAAAGTTATCAATGCAGTCTTTTCCTGCGATGTCTGTCACAAAATATTCCATCTATTTCACCTCAAATGATGTTAACTTGTAATGCTGGATCAGGATAATGCCTGAACTGATAAACAGAAGGCCTTCATTGCCAACATTTGCTCACTAGAAAACAATAATTCTTATAACCTGTCAGTGAATTTGCTGTAGTCTGTCTAAGGGCACATGTAACTTCTACCAGGCCCTCCATAATAAAACTCAGGTTCTGGCAAAAATGTCCATCTATAGCGTGCATCATAACAATTGTACTCATCGGTATAAGAATTAAGCCAGTCTGGGAATTTTATAACTAGAGAATTCTGAACAACGCGCATCCTTCTTATGGTTCCTGCATGCCTGTCAGCATATTGCCCGTTGCCCATTTGTGTTGCAGTGTGAGGAGAAGTTCCAACTCTGGCACTGTAAACTTCGCCGCCCCATTGAACAATTTCAGCACTGAAAGATAACTTGTCAAAGAGTTCACCAGGCCAATATCCTATGTAAACCTTCTCTCCATAATTAACCCACCAGTTTCCAGTAAATGGGTCCTCGAAAAGGGGAAAAAAAAAGAAAATAGGAAAGAAGTGATTGGAAGATTCTAAAAGCTGAGCAATATGGAAATTAAGGTAGTATTAGAACGAAAAAGGGGCCAACATTTTGTTAGAAGTATTTACCGTTGTTAATTAATCATATTTGTTTATGCTACCTAATTAGTGGAGTTAGTGGAATAACTAGTGGGATTAGTGGAGTACCTAGTGGAGTTAGTGGAGTTAGTAGTGGAGTGAGTGGAGTTATTGGGATAGTTAGTGGAGTTAGTGGGATAGTTAGTGGAGTTGGTTTAAACTCTATAAATAGAGTAATTTCATGTTATAAGTTGTGTGAGTTTTACAAAGAAATAAACATTTGTCCTTTGCTTCTCTTATTATTTGCCTCAATATTTGTATCAGTGGTACCAGAGCTAGGCTAGTGAGTGAAAACAAAAGCGAGTTGTGAGAATTGTAAATTACGATGGCCACTGACAATTTTGTGCAGCCAGCAATTCCTCGCTTTGATGGTCACTATGATCATTGGAGTATGCTAATGGAGAACTTCTTGAGATCCAAGGAGTATTGGCAGGTTGTCGAATCTGGAGTAGCAGAGCCAACAGCCGGAGAAATATTGTCAGAGGTGCAGAAAATGGAGTTGGAAGCATTGAAACTGAAAGATCTTAAAGCCAAAAATTATCTTTTTCAAGCTATTGATCGAGCCATTTTGGAGACAATTCTTAGCAAAGATACCTCCAAACAAATTTGGGACTCCATGAAGAAAAAGTATCAAGGAAATGCAAAGGCGAAGCGGGTGCAGCTTCAAGCTCTTCGGACCGAATTTGAGACTTTACGCATGAAGTCAAGTGAATCAGTCACTGATTATTTCGCAAGAACGATGGCAATCGCTAACAAGATGAGGATCCATGGAGAAAACTTGAAGGACGTCACCATTGTCGAGAAGATTCTTCGATCAATGACAACAAAATTTAATTTTGTTGTATGCTGTATAGAGGAATCGAAAGATATTGATGCAATTTCAATTGATGAGTTGCAGAGTTCTTTGTTGGTTCATGAGCAAAAAATTAACCAGCAAGAGAAAGAGGAGCAAGCACTAGTGGCTTCAGCAGAAATTCACTCAACATGGAGAGGAGGCAGAGGCAGAGGCAGAGGCAGAGGTAGAGGAAATAATGATCGTGGCAACCAACAACAACAATACCAGCACCAAGAAAATCAATTTCAAGGAAGAAGAAGAGGACGAGGAGGCTATTCATTAACAAATCAAAGGCCAAAGTCAGCAGACAAGTCCAATGTTGAATGCTACAAATGTCATAGGTATGGTCATTATCAGTCCGAATGTCGAACTAATTTGAATAGACAAAATGGAGAAAGGACTAATTTTGCAGAAAAAGAAGAAGAAGTGTCTCGTTTGATGGTGTGCCACATGAGTGAAGAAACTCAACAAAACACATGGTATTTAGACACCGGTTGCAGCAATCACATGTGTGGAGATAAGAAGGCATTCTCTGAATTGGACGAGTCATTCCGTAGCACTGTCAAGTTTGGTGATAACTCTACAATTTCTGTTATGGGAAAAGGAAGGGTAATTATCCAAGCTAAAGAAAATTCTTCTACCCACACTATTACTGATGTTCTTTTTGCTCCAGACTTAAAGACAAATTTGCTTAGCGTGGGTCAGTTGCTCGAAAAAGGGTACGAGATTTCAATCAAGGGTGGTGTATGTCAGATTCGAGATGCAAAGTTGGGCTTAATTGCTCAAGTTAAGATGACGGCAAATCGTATGTTCCCACTCGATTTGCAGAATTTGACTCATTCATGTTTCTCGACAAAATCGAAAGATGTGGGATGGTTATGGCATTTTCGTTATGGACATTTGAATTTTGGTGGACTGAAAACTTTGCAACAGAAAAATATGGTAGCTGGTTTACCTCAAATCACAACTCCTTCAGAAGTTTGTGAAGAATGTGTTATTGCCAAACAACATCGAGATAGCTTTCCAAAAGGAAAATCGTGGAGAGCAAAAAATGTCTTGGAGCTGGTTCACTCTGATCTATGCGGACCCATAAATCCGTTATCTAATGGTGGAAAACGTTATTTTATGACGTTTACTGATGATTATAGTCGAAAAACTTGGGTCTATTTTTTGCAGGAAAAATCTGAAGCATTTTCAACGTTCAAAAATTTCATGACTCTTGTCGAAAAGGAAGCAGATAAATTCATAAAAAATTTTCGCAGTGATCGTGGTGTAGAGTATAATTCACAAGAATTTATAAATTTTTGTGAGGAGCATGGAATTCAGAAGCAGCTTACAACCGCTTATACACCGCAGCAGAATGGTGTTTCAGAGAGGAAGAATCGTACAATATTGAACATGGTGAGGAGCATTTTGACAAAAAGTGGTGTTCCAAAAAATTTTTGGCCCGAAACTGTCAACTGGAGCATTCATATATTGAACAGAAGTCTCACACTTGCTGTTAAAAATATGACGCCTGAGGAAGCATGGAGCGGACGGAAACCAACAGTGGATCACTTCAAAATTTTTGGATGCATTGCCTATGCTCATGTTCCAGAGCAAAAGAGGACAAAACTAGACAACAAAGGGGAGAAATGCATTTTTCTTGGTGTTAGTGATCAGTCAAAAGCTTATAAGCTTTATAATCCTATCACCAAGAAAATTGTCATCAGTCGGGATGTAATTTTTGATGAGGAAAATTTTTGGCCATGGAGCAACAATATTATTAAACAACAAATACCCGCTGATTTCACAGGAGTTGATGAAGGAAAAAGGCAGCAGTTGACAGAACAAATTCCATCAAATGGTCCAGATAATGTATCAAATTCCCAAACAGTAGCAGAAGATGAAGGACGGCCTCAACGTATTAGAAAAAGACCTGCATGGATGATTGATTATGAGGTAACTGGAATTGATCAATCTGAAGACCCACTTACATATTTTGCACTATTTTCCGATTGTGATCCTACAGTTTTTGAAGAAGCTGTCAAAGATTTGAAGTGGCAGAAGGCAATGGATGAAGAAATTGCAGCTATTGAACGAAATAACACTTGGGAGTTAACCAATCTTCCAGAAGGACAAAAATCTATAGGTGTCAAGTGGGTGTACAAGACGAAATTAAAGGAGAATGGAGAAGTTGACAAGTACAAGGCACGTCTGGTAGCTAAAGGCTATAAGCAAGAGTTTGGGGTGGATTATGGAGAAGTCTTTGCTCCAGTCGCAAGGCATGACACGATTAGGATGGTGATAGCATTGGCAGCTCAAAATTCATGGCCTATCTTCCAATTGGATGTGAAATCAGCATTTTTACATGGTGATTTACAGGAACATGTATTTATTGATCAACCCCCTGGTTATGTGAAGGTTGGAAGTGAACATAAGGTATACAAACTCAAGAAAGCATTATACGGATTAAAACAAGCCCCGCGTGCTTGGTATAGTCGTATAGATGCTTATTTTTCTGAGGGATTTAAGAAATGTCCATATGAGCATACACTTTTCATAAAGATTGGAGATGGAGGTAAATTGCTGATTGTTTGCTTATATGTTGATGATCTTATTTTTACTGGGAATGATAGTGCCATGTTTGAGAAATTCAAGAAATCTATGATGGCTGAATTTGATATGTCTGATCTTGGAAAGATGCATTATTTTTTGGGTATTGAAGTGGTGCAATCTGCTGATGGAATTTTTGTCTTTCAAAGAAAATATGTGCAAGAAATTCTGAACAGATTTCAAATGTCGAATTGTAATTCTGTTAGTACGCCAGTTGAAGTGGGTTTAAAACTCATCAAAGAACCAGGAGGAAAGAGGGTTGATAGCACCCTTTACAAGCAAATTGTGGGAAGTTTGATGTATTTGACAGCAACTAGGCCTGATATTATGCATGCTGTAAGTCTTATTAGTAGATACATGGAAAGTCCAAGGGAGACACATCTTCTAGCTGCCAAGAGGATTCTTCGATACTTGCAGGGAACCATTGAGTATGGATTATTTTACAAGAATGGTGAAAAATCAGATTTGTTTGGTTTTACTGACAGTGACTATGCAGGCGATTCTGATGATAGAAAGAGTACGTCTGGGTATGTGTTCATGATGGGTTCAGCAGCTATTTCATGGTGTTCAAAAAAGCAACCAATTGTTACGTTATCAACAACTGAAGCAGAGTATGTAGCTGCAACCGCCTGTGCCTGTCAAGCAATTTGGTTAAGGAATATTCTTGAAGAGTTGCATTTCCAGCAAGAAGGAGCTACTACAATTTATTGTGACAACAGTTCTGCCATCAAGCTCTCTAAAAATCCAGTTCTACATGGAAGAACCAAACACATAGATGTGAGGTTTCATTTTCTAAGGGAGCTCACAAGGGATGAAATAATTGATTTTTTCTACTGCAAAAGTGAAGATCAGATTGCTGATATAATGACCAAGCCATTGAAGTTATCCACGTTTCAGAAATTAAGGAAGCTGCTTGGAGTCTGTGCAGTTAATAAATCATATTAAACTGAATGTTTGATAAACTTTCAGTTTAAGGGAGGAATTGTTAGAAGTATTTACCGTTGTTAATTAATCATATTTGTTTATGCTACCTAATTAGTGGAGTTAGTGGAATAACTAGTGGGATTAGTGGAGTACCTAGTGGAGTTAGTGGAGTTAGTAGTGGAGTGAGTGGAGTTATTGGGATAGTTAGTGGAGTTAGTGGGATAGTTAGTGGAGTTGGTTTAAACTCTATAAATAGAGTAATTTCATGTTATAAGTTGTGTGAGTTTTACAAAGAAATAAACATTTGTCCTTTGCTTCTCTTATTATTTGCCTCAATATTTGTATCACATTTACCTTAAAGATGAAGATAGTGATTTGATATGGAAGTTCATTAGGCTTTGATATGGGATATATTGCAGCACCAAGTGCTATATCCTTGCCAATTTGTACAAAACCAGGGCAAGTAGCATCAAAGCAACCAGTTTCTACTGAAGCATCAATCTAACACAGTGATGACAAAAAGCAGAAAGCTTTCTTGTTACACATCAAGTATAGATATCAACAAAAAAAATTTTACAAAAAAAAAACCGATTGCTTTCTTTCTCCATTAAACTTTTGGAACTCCAAGGTTCTTTTTTTTTTTTTTTTTTTGTAGGTTTTGATAACAAAATTAGGAAAGCCCACCGTCCAATATGTGAAAAATCTTGTTTGTCTGTCCCCATAAACACTTGGATTCACCTGCAATATTGTAGATTTTAACTTATCAAGTAGCATCAAAGCAACCAGTTTCTACTGAAGCATCAATCTAACACAGTGATGACAAAAAGCAGAAAGCTTTCTTGTTACACATCAAGTATAGATATCAACAAAAAAAAATTTACAAAAATAAACCGATTGCTTTCTTTCTCCATTAAACTTTTGGAACTCCAAGGTTCTTTTTTTTTTTTTTTTTTTTTTTTGTAGGTTTTGATAACAAAATTAGGAAAGCCCACCGTCCAATATGTGAAAAATCTTGTTTGTCTGTCCCCATAAACACTTGGATTCACCTGCAATATTGTAGATTTTAACTTATCAAATTTCCGTAATCGTCTCAGACTAGAGAAATGGAATTAAGACAGGAATTTGACAAAATATTGAAAGGATAAAAGCTGCATGGAGACGAGACATTTTGTTTGCTGATACTGACCGCCCGTCCTGATTCTATGGCTTCATACTGGTTGTAAGGGCCGCTTTTGAGAGCAACCTGAGAAGTAGTGTACTCGTCATCCAGTTCCACAGAAGGATAACAGACCTTAATATCTCCTTTGGCTCCAAAATATGCATACCCGTCAGTGTGAAGTATTGCCAACTATTTTGATGTCAAAAAATCAGATTGTCATTCATGCATGATGGTTATTTGATTCAGTACTGAAGCCATTTACATTTAAATTTTAATCAACATGCAGCAAATTTAGTTCACATAAGTATGCATTATGCCCTTGTCATCAGATAAATAGCCTGCATACCGAGTGGTTCGCTCGTAGAAGGTTCATACTTTTGTTGTCCTTACACCGGTAAGGGGAGATAGTCGGTTTTTTTCTTGCATGACCATCAACTGTAGTTACTTTGTTTTTGTTTTTCCTTGGCACCCTCCTGATGGGAATTGTCACTTCGTGGCAGCTTCCACTTTTATGCCATATCTGTGCTGTAGTGGTAATATACAAGTCTCTGTTTCCTTTATGATCAGATGCTTCCCGGGTTTCTTTTTCATTTTTTGTCACCATTATTGGATCATAGGTTGGTCTCATCTGGAAGTGGAAATTGCTCTAATTTGATCAGAAGTAATGTGTAAAAAGGAGTTTCATAAGACTCATGAATCACAATGTCGAGACTAATTAATTTGACATGGGAAAACAGACCTGGATTTTGTGATTTCTCAACGCAGGATGATTAAAAGCAGGTTGGTTGTGAATGCCAATGCAATCAATTACATCCCCATCTTCGCTCTGGAAAATAATGAATGAAGGGTACTGAATTCAGCAATTCTGTATTCTTTATCACGTAGAACTCTTGTGAAACATTTGCAAGAAATCGCTTCTCTTCGTTAATTAAAAATTTTTTAGTAAAGAAGAAAAAGAGAAGACTATATGAAGCTTTACCTGAATGCTTTTTACTGCAAACTTGGGACCAAAATTCTGTTTCGAGCTGGAACCATTCCTTGGGACCCCTCTGCTTATTGCTACCAAAGTGACTTGCAGCATTAGGATAGACATCAACTTGATCCCCATTACCAGTGAACAGAAAGCTAAAGGAGTTTCAGATTTTCAGAAAATGAAGGAAGATTTTTTCCTTAATATTTATCTTCACCTGAATTAGAATTCTCACAAATTTCTCAGATCTATTCGAGAAGTTGACAAATGGGATTCATGGTACTTAAAAGAAGCCAAGACATTGATGAATGCATGACTTACCTCCTTGATCATTTGGTTTTCATTTTACTTTGCGCATTATTCTCCATAACAGCTTGCTAAAAGGCCTGCTGGAAATTAAGATTTCAATTTGTAACTTTGGGCACTGTAAATGAATAGAGTAACCAATACTCCTCTCTTTTAATTTTCACTTTCAAGCATGCTTACAAATTCTTCACTAAATTTTTGAATTTCTAGTATTGTAACCAAAGCCACCTGCATTACAAAAGAGTGAATATGCATATCTATTGACAGGAAACAAAATAAAAGGGCAAATTTGCAAGACGAATATGTTAAAAATACTAACCTTCCAAGTCGGGTTCTTGAAGGCAGTCTGATGAAACTCTGGTAGTTACTATCCATTGTCGAAATTACTAGACAATAAATTGAAGACTGAGATTTGTAGTTGATTAGAAACTTATCAACCGGGGGAAAAAACATGCATGAACAGATTAGACAGCATTAGTTAAAGGGAGATAAGAGATCATTAACAGGTAAGATTGTTCCTTTTGATTGTCCTGACCTACATTACCATCTTTAACCGTTGTCTTTACCTAAATTACAAGAGAGTTCCAAACTCTAAGATCATTTTCGAGGTTATAAACTTCTGGGATTTTAATAAAGGTAGTATGGGGAGAAGAACTTAAAATAGTATTAAGTAGTGCATCCAATTCATTGATCTTTTTTTTTTTTTTTTGGCTAGGTTTAACACTTGAGCTTTGTAAGAATTCAATAGTTTAGAAACAATTTAACAAATGGATTTTCTTTTTTCTTTTTTTTTTTTAACACATGCAACAATGGATGTTATTCCATTGTATGTCTTAGAAACATTAGGTATTTTGTTCCCATTTAACTACGACGACACAGATTTTCCGGTTACCCAACGAACTTGGAACATCACTAGGGATGGCAACCGGGGGGGGTTAGGGCGGGGGACCCCTCCCCCATCCCCCGCCCTGCTGCCTACAAACTCCCCCCGCCCCCACCCCATCCCCCGTCCCCCGCTCCCCCCGCCCCGTCCCCACCCCGCCCCGCTTCCCCCGCGGGTGCCCTCGCGGGGCTAATTAAATTTTGTTATATAATTTTATTATGGTTAAATTTTAGCAAATAATAAAGTACTAAAATATCAACACATCATCAAATTATTATTCATTGTAATTTTAGATTTGAAACTTATTAAAACAATCAAATAAAAATTATTTGAATACAATCCAACATGATGAAATAAATATAACTAAAGTAGTCAAGTTTTCACTTTTGGCACAAATACAATCACTAATTCATTATTGTGCTTGTGTTTTTTTTAAGAAAAAAATGTTATTGTATTAAGTGTAATTAGGGATTTAGTATAAATGTATTAGTAAATTTAGTATAACCAATTAATAATTTGTATTAGTACACATATATAATTATTAGTATAATTAATAATATCAATTATATTATATATACTAATAGACATTATATAGTACATATAACTAATAATATCATTATCATAAATTTGTAACTAATTAAATTATATATTATATATAATTATATACATATATATTTTATATATTTATTTTTTTAAAGCGGGTGGCGGGGCAGGGGTACACTCCCCCGCCCCCCCCCAGCCCCGTTTCTAAGCGGGGGGCAAAAAATTCCCCCCACACCGCCCCACCCCCCGCCCCAACCCCCTCCCCATTAGCCCCCCACTGGGCGGGTGCCTAAACATGACCATATAAATAGTTCCATTTGAACTTTGCCTAGCAACTGATTGTTGGATGAAAGTCAATTAACAATTTCACATGGCATAATTCTTCAGGAAAACTGCGTTGACGGTTCATAAAATAAGTTTCTAGTTTCTACAGCAATAGTAATTGAAGTTGCATTCCCTTGCTTAACAAAAACAAGAATCTAGGGTAAATTACTAATGACCCCTGATTTCATACATTAATTACCGCATGAAACCCTAACATTTCAGAGATCGACATAATCCCTTATGATTTTCTGTAAAGTAGATATTTAACAAAAAATAACCTACATAATGTGGTGACTTAAAATGCGAATATTATCCTTACTTAAATACTAAACAGAATGAGAACCTAACTATTTTGCATAAAACTATTGGAGGATTATGTGATATGTACAAAATTATAGGGAATTATGCAAAATCATAAAGGGTTATGGATGTTATAATTTTACCATGTGCATATTCATAGCTTTGTCTAGATCAATCACTGTAAACTGATGCGCTTTTTGCCCAAAATTCCAATTTACATACAATCATAAGCAAGTTCATGTATATATGCAAGATAAAAAAGAAGTGTGATTTTCGCCCATTTTTTAATTTACATACAATTATAAGGAAGGTTATGTGAATATTTAAGTTAAAAATGAAGTGTGATGATATACAAAATTATAAGGGTTATTAGTAATATACTCCAAGAATCCACCATCCATCCATTCAGTAATAATAACTTAAAATGGATCATCACATTAATTATATACGTGGGATGTTATTGGACCTTCTCTAGCTCTATGGATCCTCATATACGTATGCTCCTTGACATGCATATGCACCACTGCCAACTGATTTGACAATTCAATTAAAATAAATCATTGGGCAGATGCTGATCAATTGTTATGTGCATTATATATGAAATTAAAATGAATTCACTTAATTCATATATACTTTCTTGGTGCATTTCTCACTAGCTATTACTAGAGTTAAAACTTGCGTTACCGGGCGGTTCTTCTCAAGAAGTTTGATTGCTGTGTCATTGGTGCACTGCTCACTCTGATTGCAGAACCGAGGCTTCCTTGCTTCATATGCACTGTATATTGGCATCCGCCGAATGGGGACCTTCCGCTTGGGACAACTTCCACTTCTCTGCTACAGTTGTGTTGTCTCAGCCGTGGAAATGTTTGTTTTTCCTTGTTCAGGCGTTTTAGTTGTATTTGCTACTGCGGTTATGGCCTTTGTTGGTACAAAGCTCGGTTTCATCTGAATAGGAGAAATGGCATAATTAGTTGGCTCACATATATAACCATCACAAGTTTCATAAATCGAGACTTCCTAGAACAAACAAGATATACTAGACAAACCTGGATCTTGTGATTCTTCAGAGCGGGATGATTGAAAGCTGGCTTCTTGTAGATGTCGGTGCAATATATTATATTGCCATATTCACTCTGAAACAGAAAAGATGAAAGTGGCGTTGTATGTAAATAAATCAGCATAATCCGCAGTACTTTTTCTTTTAACTTCATTTTGGGATGGCCACAAATTTAGAAATCTACCAGACATTTATTTTGCTCTTCTTGGACATTTTAGCTTGGGCTTCATTTCTTTTTCAATGGCTTCCAAATACAAGAAATGTAATTCACTATGGTCAATGGGATTATCGACGCATGTTATTAATGTGGATTATGAAGATGGTTCAAAGTATAATTTTTTTTACTTGTATAAATGATTGGGTCACGATTTTAAGTAGGTGAATTAGAAACAAAATATCATCTAAACTATCCTTTTACTTACTAAATGAAAATACTCCAAAGCCACTTTGTTTACTTGAAGAAAACTATCGCTTAAAAAAACAATTTCTAGTAGTACTGCCAAAACATCACAATAGTATAGTCCAAAAATATATATATTTAAAAAATTAAAAAGATACTTACAAAGAAATACACTATCACCAATTTAACTCTATATGCTCAAAATAAATTTTTTATGAACTTTATATTTTTTTTTCCAAATTCTTCTCAACCCATGTTCAAACCTTTAAATTGTACTAATCATTATAAAAGTTAACTCAAAATAAACAATGAAATTATACCTCACCCTATCACAATCATAAAAAGCAAAAGACGCATAATTTAAATGTACTATAATTTACAAATAAAAAATCACATAGACTTCCAAAAAAATGAGCAAGAGAAAATGTTGGAGAAAGAAGAAAGTGAAGAAAGTGACTTTTTTTCAGTTTGATTTATTTGACATGTGAATTATGTATCATAAGGGCTAATATAGTCTTTTTGTAATAATCAGGAGAGGTAAGTGATATTTTTAAAATCTCAAAAATGCCAAGTGATATTAGTAGAAACCTCAAGGGAGGTTTATGATATTATCCCTCTGTCACAAATAGTATATGATAACGGGGAACCTTTTTTGATATTTGCAAACCTCAAGGCTTTAATTGTAATTTGCTTAAAGCTCAAGGGAACCCTTTTTTTCCCTCACCCGTGCGTAACATGTATATATGTGCATGTATACATATTCTCGGAATCAAGAAGGAAAGAGCGGCCACAGACTAAGTTGCACGAATTCTTGGAGTTGGTCCTGTTGTGGCTATGAAGATGATGATGAAGAAACGCAAAAGACCCCGTTACGCAAAAGAGAAACCTGGAGAAAGCAAAACCAAGCAGGAAAATACGGGGAAGGAGAAAGAATTAGTGAGGATCAAGTGGAGGAGATGGGTAAAGAGCAAAAGAAAGAGTCAGACATTATGAGCATGGATTTGTTTACGTCGTTGCCATTAGCAGAATCAACTACGAAAGCTATTGCTGACATGGGTTTCAAGTATATGACTCAGGTAGATAAACCTTAACTCCTATTTTTGCTAGATTATCTATCTGCATTCGTTAAAGTTGTTGTTCTTTGAGGCTTTAATCCCAAAAAAATGAAAAAATGGCTTTGGTGAATGAATAAAGAAGATTAATTGATCAGGGCTGATCTATATACTTGGTTTCGTTTCTGTACATATCACAACTAGTGCTAGAATTAAAATATTTTTGCCGAATTCAGACTGAAACTGGGGCTTAGTGCTAAAAAAATAATTAAAAAAATTGGGGGCTGGTTAAGATTGATGGCACAGGCACAAAATGTATTGCAGCCTTGTGTATTTGAATATGGTGAATGAGTAAAGAAGACTAATTAAACAGGGCAGGTTTGTGTATTTGGTGTGTTTTTGTAGGGGGATTGATGTTGGATGACAGAGTGTAACATGAATAGTTTGCTAGCAAACTGGCACTTGAGATTTATCTCTGTCTCATCTCTAATTTAGTTCATGGTTGTCAATGGATTTACCATAAAGATGGAGTGGCTCATAGTTGCCATATTTCGTTGTCTAATGGTCATCTTAAATAGTCTTTAGTTTATCTGGATAGGGACGACTACACATATGTATTAGCCACTACGTTCTCGTTTTCTGTACCTCCCTACTCAAAATCATTATGTGTTCTCCTTTCTGATCTTCAGTTTTTAAATAACTAAGATTCTCTCAAATTTGGATTATTTTGTTCTTGTAATTGAAGATTCAAGCAAGAGCAATTCCGGCCCTTCTAGATGGAAAAGATGTTCTAGGAGCTGCAAGAACAGGATCTGGGAAAACACTTGCTTTCTTGATACCTGCTGTGGAGTTGTTGTATCAAACTCAATTTACTCCTCACCGAGGGACTGGTGCAATTGTCATATGTCCCACCAGAGAGTTGGCCATTCAGGTGAAGAATATTCCTAGCTATGCTATTCTATGAAAATAAATTGAAACTTGAATCTCTCTATGTGGCAGACCACAGTTCTTTCTTATTATAATTTTCTAGCTATCAGCTTAAAATCTCCTGTATCCTTTTGTTTTGGTGGTTCAACTAGGAAATGAGTGAATGGTATTTCTCTCTTTCTATGGTATTGGTACCCTAAATTAAACATAGGTTAAAGTTAATCGAAAATAACAGTTTCAACTTTAGTTTATTCTCAATGTAACTGATAGTACCCAATCACTAGAACAAAACCACCTAAGAAAGAAAGTTTTTTGCTGGAAATCAGCACCTTGATTGTTCATTAAATGCACTTTAGCATTACTTTTCTACCAAATCAACAAGCTCTTACCAAGATTTGAATTTGATGGCTTTCCTCACCAAAGATTTTCGGTTTCTAACTGTTAGTTTATGAATAGCAGACTCACACTGTTGCAAAAGAGCTTCTCAAGTATCATTCACAGACTCTTGGCTTGGTAATTGGAGGTTTGGGTCGTTCGTCTCTGAAGGAAGAGGCGGTACGTCTTGTAAAAGGAGTGAACCTGTTAATAGCAACACCTGGTCGGCTCTTAGATCATCTACAAAACACAAAGGATTTTACATACAGAAATCTAAAGGTTCAACTAATTCATATGAATAGATGCTGTCATTCGTATCTACTTATCTTTACAAAATGCACTACCTTTCTGAAAGATGAGATATCAACTGTGAATTTGAATTGAAAAATTGCTTAATTGTGTCACAGCAATTTGCAGCTACTGCTGCACACTCTTTGTGTGTTGTTGAGTGTCAGAAGTTTGTGATTACTTTAGATTTGTTTATAAGCTAATATCTCAAGGTTACACTCTCGAATGCTGCTTCAGAAACTGATGAGTATATGTAATTTTGATGTGCAGATAGTGCATATTTATATGATTTTAGGATGGATTGTTGTTATCTTCTGTGGCTTCAACATGATTTTACGATTGTTAGTTTTTTCATCTTCAATTTTTTACTGTCAACCCTGAACACATGCATGTTATTCAAGTCTGCCTATTTGGCATGAAAACTGCAGGTTTTTTTTCAGAGACCTATCTATCTATCACGTATTAATGATTTTTGGGTATACTAACTTCTTGATTAGTTTTTTACTTGCAGTTCCTCATAGTTGATGAAGCGGATAGGATATTGGAAGCCAATTTTGAAGAAGAAATAAGGAAAATTGTTAATATCTTGCCACAGGTATAATTGCGTGAACCAGACACTCTTAATCAAGTTAGAAGTTTATGTCCATGGGTTTACAAATGAAACAAAAAAGAACAAGAAAGAAAGAAAGGACTAGAGGAACATTTTTTAGTTACTGGTTGGTTGAACTTGCTTGAGATAGTTATTCACCGGGGATGTGGTAGAATATAGCATGTACTTCATTATGCAGCCATTATGGCAACTTTTTACAAATGAGCTCTGTGATATTCTTGAAAGAAATTGTTTTCAGTCGCATAGATGGCTAACTATAAGCTAGCTGATATTTGTGTTAGCCTTTGTGCTAATCTTCAACTGATAACATCCTACTTCGAATGCAGAAAAGGCAAACAGCTCTTTTCTCTGCCACACAGACAGTGAAGGTAACTGCAATCACTGCCATAATTTGCATGGTCTCATCTTTTATGTGTTTCAAGGATAGAATTTAAGCATCGAATTCTGTACCTTCAAAAGTAAATAAGATTTTACCTTCACCTTTTCCTATGCTGAAATGAAAGGATAAAAACTGAATGGGCAGAAGTAATTTTCTCATTTTTGAAGCATTTATTTATATTTTTTTATCTGTAGAATGCTGCCAAGGAACAACAATATCTCTGTCCTTGCTGTTAGTTGGATTTAAATAACAAGTACACATTTTTCAGGTTTATGATCTCGCACGCTTATCCCTTCAGGGGAACCTCATCTACATTGGTGTTGATGATGAACAGAAGAAGGTAAGTTACGTTGTGCTTTTCCTCCAGCATTTGTAGGAAACTAATGATGTAATAAGATTAACGTACTTTGGACTTTTAGGTCACCAATGATGGTCTGAAGCAAGGATATTGTGTCATTCCAAGTGAAAAGAGATTTACTCTTCTCTATTCCTTTTTAAAGAGGAATTCATCAAAGAAAGTGATGGTTTTCTTTTCTTCATGTGATTCTGTCAAGTTCTATTCTGATCTTCTCAAGTACATAGGCATTGATTGCCATGATATTTATGGAAAGAAGAAGCAGCACAAACGAAACTCCACTCTGGATGACTTTCGCAAAGCAGAGAAAGGGATATTGTTATGTACAGATGTTGCTGAACGTGGTCTGGACATCCCTGCCGTGGTATGATTCTCTACTGACCCTTGCTACCACACCTCATGTCTGAACATTCAGCCCTCCTACTGATTTTCAACACTACATATATTGAAGGGGGCAGGGACGGAGCCAGAAATTTATTTTTGGGGGGGCTGAAGTGTATTAAAAATTTTTTTTTGTGACGAAATAAATATATTTAATAAGTAAAATTTAGAATCAATAATTATAAAAATAATAAAAACATATAATTATACATACCCAAAAATTTGTTATTGATTAACACTTGAAGTATTGGTAGTTGTTGCACTCGAATAACGAAGAGGAGGCAATTGCATTCTGCGAGTCTTCATCCGTTGAAAACGTTGCAATATTTGCTCATTTTCAATTGTTGCAAAAATATCCTTCTCGATGTATACAACCAGACAGTCATTCATCCACTCGTCTCCCATTTTGTTGCGCAAATCAGTCTTGACAATATTCATTGCAGAAAATACTCTTTCAACAGAAGCAGTCGCAACTGGTAGAACTAATGCCAACTGGATCAGACGATAAACAAATGGAAAAACTGTATTTTTACCAGTTTTAACCATTTGTTGAGCAAGACTTCCCAAATCTCCAACTTCTGAAAATTGAGGATCGCGTTGCACATTATAAATATAATTTCGAAGTTGAGACTCAAGATATAAATAATCGTTACTTGAGAAGTCTTCAGGATATAAATCAGCAAGACGGAGTAGTTTCTGCACATTGAATTGAGAGAAAGAACTTTTTGGATCAAGACATGCTATGCAACTAAGCAATTCCGTGCTAACTTCCGAGAAACGATTATTCATCTCTTGTATAATTAAATCAACAACCTGACATCACAACAATAATAAAATTAATAACTAAGAAAATCTGCTAACAAGTAACAAATGTAATGAAATAATAATTTCAAAAATAATACCTCACAAAAAATTTCCACGCGATAATGATGAAAATTAGTGATGGTTTGACCTCTGCGACTGCGCCTGGCATTGCCACGGATTGCTATACTGTCTTCCATATCAATCACGGGAATCATATTCAACTCACAAAAATTGTTGACTTCATCTAAAATTATTTGCCATCCCTCTTCCCTAAAGTCTTGCAATTGAGATTTCATAGTATCAATCAAACTCATGGCTTGGACAATATTTTGATCCCTTTGTTGCAAAACAAGTGACAAGTCATTTGTGATTCCCAATAAATACTTCATCAGGTGCAATGCAAAAACAAACTCATAATCATTCATTCTATCAATCAAACCCCTGGCCATACCTCTATTGTCAGAAGTGGAGGCATCATCTTGTATATTTCCCAATATTCCAATCACCGAAGCCCACATAGAGGATAGACGAAGTAATGTTAGATAGTGTGATCCCCAACGAGTATCCCCTGGTCTTGCTAAACTAGTTTCTTGATTTTTGCCTTTTCCACTAATAATATCTCCACTGTCTAAAAGTGCAACAATCTTATCATGTTCTATTTGTCTTAATTGATCTCTCCTTTTACATGATACTCCAGTTAAATTGACAATCATAGAGACATAGACAAAGAATTCACTGATAATGATATTTCCCTTAGCAACAGCAACAATAACTAACTGGAGTTGGTGAGCAAAACAGTGAATATACATCGCATAGGGATTTTCTTGTAATATAAGGGCCTTCAAACCATTGAACTCACCTCGCATATTTGAAGCTCCATCATATCCTTGACCTCTCAATTTGGATAATGATAATCCGTGTTGCGCGAATAAAGAATCAATTGCATCTTTCAAACAAAGAGATGTGGTGTCAGACACATGTACAATTGCAAGGAAACGTTCAATCACACGCCCTTCTTTGTTCACATATCTCAAAACAACTCCCATTTGCTCTTTCACTGAACTGTCTCGAGACTCATCAACTATTAGGGAAAAATAATTGTCTCCAATATCATTGATTATAACACTTGTGATCTCTGAGGCACAAGCATGTGCCAGATCTTTTTGAATCATTGGAGAAGTTAGTTGATTATTTGCAGGAGCATTTTGATTTACAACCTCAAAAATCTCAGTATTTCGCTGGCTATACCAATCAAACAATTCAAGAAAATTGCCTCTATTTGAAGAACTAGTTGACTCATCATTTCCACGAAAAGCCAATCCTTGCTTCAAAAGAAAGCGGGTCACATCCAGAGCAGCAGTTAAACGGGTGCGATATGCAATATCTATTTCGCGCCCACAAGATCGTAGCACATTTGACACACTATGCCTTTGATCTTGAAAACTTTCAAACTGTATTCTAGCATCATTATGGCAACTATTCACAGCTCCAATATGTTCATTAAATCTTTCCATTGCCTTTTTCCAATTATTGAATCCCGTTTTTGTAAAGGCATCCTCTGCATATCGACCTCCCTTATTTTGTGTTTTGAAAAGAAAGCACCAAAAGCAAAACGCCACATCTTTCGATATGCTATACTCTAACCATACAAACTTTTGATACCAAATATCTTGGAAACTTCTATGTTGTTGACCAAATGATGTTTTTGGATACATATGGCCAATCGGTTGGCAAGGTCCCCTAGTCAAATACTCTCTTCGGACATGGTCTCGAAGAGAAATATCAAATTTCTCAACTGATTTTCGTAATCCCGGATCACTAACAATATCATTTAAATTCAATTCCACACAAGATTGATTTTGAACTGGTTCACTAATATTAGGCTCATTTGAAGATTCACCACTACGGACTCGTTTAGGTTTAAAGAATCTCTCCATTTTCTGTCACAATTAAATAATTGTGGTTAAATTCAATAAAATTATGCAATTCAATAATCAATTAATTTAAAATTCATATAAATAATTCTTTAATTTAATAATAAATTCATATTACTTATATTTCTCAATTTATAAAATTCATTATATAAAATTATCAAAAAGTTAAAATAAGGTACAACTAAATACCCATATAATTTCTAATTCAATCTCATAAAATTTTGAATTTATATTTACATTCAAAATTTCTAATTCACATAATTAATTCTTAAAATTTCAAATATAAAACTAACAAAATTTTAAAAACTAAATACAACCTAAAATCTATACAATTTCTAAACTAATTTCTAATTTAAATTTAATATCATTAAATTTTTTAATGTAATCTTTCAAATTCTTAAATTACATTAACATAAACTAAATAAAAATTAATCTTAATCAAATTAATATCAAGATACTCAAAATTCAAAAATAATTTAAACATATAATTAACAAAAATATAAAGATGAATATTGTAATTTAAACCAAAAAACTAACCTAAAAGATTTATGTGAATGGAATGGTGGAGAGTTGGAGTCTTGGAGCCTTGAATTGAAGGCTTGAAGCAGGATGGTAGAATCTCAAGTTCTCAACTGAAGCTTCTTGGAGTTCTTGGAGCCTGGCGTGAGTGGCGTCTTCTTCTTGGAGTTGGAGACTTGGAGTCTTGTTTCAGTTGTTTGCCCTTTGGCCTTTGGCATTGGCGGCGACGCGGCGTGCTTTTGCATCAGATGAAGCCTTAGGGCTTCATCTGATGTATTTTTTTTTTCCCTCATTATACAAAACGACATCGTTCCACTAAAAGTGAAACGACGTCGTTTTGTATTTAGAGGGCAAAAAAAAAATTCAACATAAATTGGGTCATCTTCTTCCTCGGACCTCAGCAGTCAGCAGACTCAGCAGTGCTGGCAGCGGCTTTCCAGGCCCAGCTATTCTTGAGGTCCTCTGCAGCATTCATGGAGGCATCAGGCATGGAGCCATGGACATGGACAGGCACGGATTTAAGGGGGGGCTGGTAGGGGCTGGTGGGGGCTGGCCGCCGGAATCCCCTATATATAGGGGATTTTCCGGCGGCTTGGGGGGGGGCTTAAGCCCCCACCAGCCCCCCCTTAAATCCGTGCCTGGAAGGGGGGCAGAGGGAGGGAGAGAGTGCTTGCGAGTCTACAGCTGGCACATCGCAATTGACTAGAGTAATATTAGGAATTATTGCTAAGCATAGTCTTCTTTTTCTTCTTGTAGGATTGGATTGTGCAGTATGATCCCCCAAAGGAGCCAAAGGTGTTCAGGACTCTTTGAAATGGTTCTAATTGTGGCAGCTTCATTTTTTTATAATACTTAAGAGTTTCTTATGTCATTTTATGCAGAAATACATTCACAGGGTTGGTCGAACAGCACGTGGGGAAGGTGCAAAAGGCAATGCTCTACTTGTTTTGATTCCAGAGGAACTGCAATTTCTGTGCCAGCTAAAGGTGTTGCTGCATATTATAACTGTATTTCCCACTAAATTCTAATTTGGAAGTTGAACTAGAATACAGTTGATGAATGCCTCAATAAACATGGGAGCGTTTTCTTAGTAGGACTTGTTCCAAAAACTTAAAATCTTATCAACCACAAGGGTGACTTGAGATAGGTAAACTAAATTTTGGACTGAATCTCTTGGCTTACTTAGTTCATATTAGATGGAGGTCTAACAAGATCCCAAAATCCAGTCTTTTTAGTTTCTCATGTTTTTGGAATATGTGAAGACACGGGAGAGTCAGTTAAAGCAAAGCTCCCCCCCGGCCCGCCGGCCCCCGTCCGAGGCCAATTTCTTTGGCTCATTGTACCACAGATTGACTGCTTTACATCAGTAATCTAAACTTTCAGAAAATTACTAGTAGAGAAATCTAAAGGAAGAAAATATTAGGTTTCATAAGCAACAATGCAAAACATTACCAGTTACTTTCAGAAATAGCTCACTGTTTTCCCACATTTCATCTTCTTGTTCGCTCCCTATGAAAGTGTTGTATCGATTTTGATTCGAACCATTACTTACTAAAGTCATTATATTTGATACGAGGCTGCAAAAGTACCACTCACAGAATACGAATTTGATGAAAAGAAGCTGAAAAATGTGCAGCCTCATTTGGTAATTCTGATTAGCTAGGTTTCAAGAATTGTTAGGACCTACACAGTATTCAGGTCCTCAGTCATACTCTGTCTCATTTAGGGCTTTGATCAGTGTGTTGTGGTGGTTTATGCAGGAGAAGTTGATTGCAAACAACTATTATTTAAACAAGTCAGCCAAAGATGCATATAAATCCTACATTCTTGCTTGTCACTCACATTCCATGAAGGATATCTTCAATGTTCATCGATTGAATCTGCAGATATCTGATCTTGGTATCCTTGCTCCAACATATTATTTTGTACTTCAGATAAATGTGGAATGTCATCATGTTATTCATCCCAAGTCATTGTGACTCTAAGCTATTGGATCCATGCAAGTTTATCCTGAATTGGGATTTTGGTTTTGGTTACCATATGGTTCCTGTTAAGCTAAGTTGATAGTTATAAATACCAATATTTACAAGCACTATTGAATGTTCAAATTTTCTGCACAAGAACCCTGACTAGCTACAAGTTGCCTGAGGTTTCAATTTCTGGATTAACCTCGATCACCGTCTTAAGGGCAGACTGCATACTGTATAATAGGATGAAAGTATTGCATAAAAGGATAAGACCCCTTAACTTCTATGGAAAAGATTGTAAAGCATGTGAAAAGTGCTTTCAGATTGCAATTGGGTATACACAAAGTTTGAGAAGCGTGCAAAATAGCATGCAAGAGAGGCAGGACTACTTTTTTCACAATGCTTACATTTCAATGCTCATCTAACTTCTGCAGGCTGTGGCTGCTTCATTTGGTTTATCTAAGATTCCAAATGTAAATCTGAAGATAGACAGCAACGCATTAAAATTTTGGAGTAAAAGGCGCAGAATTGTGGGAAAATGGCACAGTTTCAGCAAAAGCAACCCTTATGGGAGGGTGGTTGAAGATAATACGCGGCAGTTTGTGAGATACTAAATAGAGTCTACAGAAGCTTTTGCAAGTTTTTTATTTTGGGGAATATTTGCTTGTTTTTAGGCTCTGTACCGTACATCAGAACAACTCTAAGTAATCAATGCTTGTGATTTTGATCCTGAAATATCCCTCAATTTTAATGTATTATATTTGACAATCAAAGTTTTTCATTTCTTTAGGCCATTTCACAGGGGCAATTGATATGCAACTCACAGGCTCATCCAAGTCGGCTTGAATGAATAAATTCATGGAAATTCTTCAGTATTGCATAATTCTTGTTTAGCAAATTTCCCTTGGCAATAAAGCTGATTAAAGCTAGTTTATTCAATGTTTTGCCGAACGAATAAAATTGAGTTAAAAACAAAAAAGCCCATGTGATATACTTAATACATAGAAAAGCCCTCCACGGTTTCAAAACATACAAAATGACACCTCATATTTTGAACTAAATTGTAAAATTGATGGAATTCGGTAAATTTAATGGAATCTGATAAACTTAACGAAAAACTTAACGGAATCTGATAAACTTAATAAAATCCGGTAAGTTTAACAGTCGAAACCATCATTTTCGTTAAGTTTACCGAATTCTGTTAGTTTATAATTTAATTCAAAACATAAGGTGTCGTTTTGAAATTATGGGAAATTTTCTATGTATTAGGTATATCACAGGGGTTTTTTTGTTTTTAACCCAATAAAATTTTATTATGGCTACACAAAGCTATCCAGTTTCTAGTACCTTTTCTTATTTTGACTAATCCTTGTCACTCATACGGTTCCAAACTTTTCATTAGCTTTTATTTAATGTCGGGCTGAAAATGAATTATTAAGCTTACGACTAAGCTCTATTGAATTGAGTTTTATTTATTAAGGGATCATTCAAATTTGATTTATCAACTGGTAAAATGAAACATGAACAAGATAATTGAAGCTCATTACATATGAAAAATTCAAGCTATTCAAGTTCGATTTGATTAAATTTCATTTGAGTTTGGCTCAATAAATGAACAAATTTATCTTGAACAGTAGAGTATTCGATTTAATTAAACTCATTTACCTTCCAAATCTAATGTTTCACGTTTAGTTTCATCATTTTGTTACCCAACTTTTATTTACCAACTAACAAAGTCAAAAATAGATAACATTTCTATTCGGTAAAGTTTCAAACTCAACTTGAAATTAGCTCGTTGAGCATGAAATTGAAGCTCACATAAAACAAAATTCAATCTACTCAAAAGAGCATAGCTCGAAGAAAACTCGTTTCAATCTGGCTCAATTTATGAACAAGTCAAAGTTGAACACTGAAGCATTCGAATAGCAAATTTTTTCAAATAATATTTTGCTTGCATCATAAACACATTTTCCAATTCACATTTTTATATTCTCAATCATATTTTTATTTTACATACATCACATCATAAAAAGTGCTACAATAATTATTCCAAATAATATTTCAAATAATACTCTATCCAAACTTGTTATCCAACTTTACGATCCAAAATTCCAAATTCATACTATTAAAAATGTTTTAATAAGAATATAAATTTTACTAACTGAATAAAATATTTAATAAAAATTTTGGGCCTTACATGTGAAAAAAAAAATTACAAAAGAAAGCAATAGACTATACTATCTTACGCAACTAGATCACTAGAATAACCATTGAAAATTGGAAAAAGGAAAAAAAAAGTCGAGAAAAAAATAAATAAACAAAATTGGCAAAAGTGTAAGACTATTATGAAATAATTAAATATTATGGATATCTATCACATTTGTTTTATCCCCTAAATATTGACAAATATTTTGCATTGTTTGAGGTCATAAATCTATCACCACTTTTGAATGATAGAGACGACATGACTTTCAATAAAGCTATTATGACTTTCGATAAAATTGCACGATTATTGATAAAACTATCACGTCTTATGAGAATATTGTATCACCATCTTGAAGAAACTAGGTGATGTACATTGTCCTACAAATAAGGGTTACCTCCTTTGTAACAAAGTGATAGAAAACTGAAATTTCATTTGAGTGAATGAAATAATAGCTCTCTTCTTACATTTCTCTTATCTTTAGCTCTTTAATTTTCCTGTTTTCTTAACATATTACCCACCACATAAAAATTCAAATCTTATATCATAATAGTATTAGTTTTATAACACGTTATTAGCACGAGATTCTGCCAGTGTCAAGCCAACTAATAGGCATTTTCTTCGGCAATTCCTCTAGTAAATTTCGAGGTAATATTTCTCATCTTTAACTCATTTCAATTTTGATTATGGCTAACCTTACAAAACAAGAGTTCATTCCTCTTGATATTTCTGGAAGAAATTACTTATTATGGGCAATGGATGTGGAGATTCATCTTAAATCCATGGGTCATGGAAAAATCATTGCCAAAGATAATGATGCAACAAGCCAAGACCGTGCAAAAGTTATGATATTCCTTCATTACCATCCTGATGAAGGGCTAAAAACTAAACATCTGACGATCAAGAATCCACTGGACCTTTGAAATAATTTAAAAGAAAGATTCGACTACCTAAAGTTGGTCATTCTTCCAAACTTAGATATGGCTAGATTCATCTACAGTTGCAAGATTTCAAAACCGTTAGTGTATATAATTCAACCATGTTTAGAATTATGTCTCAGTTAAAATTATGTGGTGAAAATATAATTGATGAGAATATGTTGAATAAAATATTTTTCACATTTCATGTTTCGAATGTGCTCTTGCAGCAGCAATATCGAGAGAAAGGATTTAAAAAATATTCTAAACTTAATGAATGTCTTTTGTTGTTTGAACAAAATAACGAATTATTATTGAAAAATCATAAGTCCCGACCAACAGGTGTTAGTCCGTTCCTTGAAGTAAATGTGACACAATCTTCACATTCTAGACATGGCAGTAGTTGTGGAAGAGGCTGTGAATGTGACCACGGTCGAGAACATGGGCGTGATCGTGATAAATTTATGTCTTACCACCATGATCATAACCATGGCAAGAAACAAAATAATCGCCAGAAGTTGGTTGAGAAGAAAAATCATGAAAATAAAAGTTACAGATGTGGCATGGAAGACCATTGGTCCAGTAACTGTTGTACAGTGGAGTATCTTGTTGAACTTTATCAAGTGATTGAAAAGAAAAAATAAAAATGTTGAGACAAATTTCCTCGATCAAAAGAATATTTATGATGATGATGATATCTATATTGATTTAACACATCTTGACGTTGTCAATTTCTTTGCACATCCTGAAGATGCAAAATGATGTGACAAATACCCAATGAGTGTTTAAATTTTATTCTTTTATTATTTTTGTATTTTTTATATAATTTACTTTATGAGTTATGTAATTTATGGACTTTATTAATGTTTACTTTTATTTCCTTGCTTATTTCTTGCTGAAGAAGAAATGGATGCCAAATACTTTGAATTAAATAATGGTGATGATGACATTTTTTTCATTGACAATGCAGCTACACACGCCATACTTAAACATGAAAAGTATTTTTTTCATTTGGATGTAGGAAAAACAAATGTCAATACTATATGTGGTAGTGCCAAATTGATTGAAGGATCCAAAAGAGCCATTATATTTTTCCTTGAAAGAACTAAAATTGCAATCAATAATGCACTACTTTTTACTAAGTTTCGAAAAAATTTGTTAAATTTTAAAGACATTCCCCGAAATGGATATCATATCGAGACCATGAATGAGACAAATAGTGAATATTTATTAATTACAAATATTATTTTTGGAAAGAAATATGTATTAGAAAAGCTACCTTCACTCTCCTCAGGCTTATATTATACAAAAATAAGTACAACTGAAATACATCACCTAATAGATCAGAAGTCTACTATTCCCAATAACTTTATGATTTAATAGGATTGCCTTGGACATCTTAGTTCTATAATGATGAGGCAAACAATCGAAAATTCATATGGCCATTCAGTAAAAGGTCAAAAAGTGTTAAATTCTAATGAATTCTCATGTGTTGTTTGTACTCAAAAGAAAATTAATTATTAGACCATCACCAGCAAAAGTAGGAATTAAATCTCCTACATTTCAAAAACAAATTCATAGTGATATATGTGGATCATTCAGATTTTTTATAGTACTAATTAATGCATTAACAAGATGGTCACATATATGTTTATTATCTACTCGCAACTAGGCGTTTGTGAAATTGCTTGCTCAAATAATTAAATTACGAGCATAATTTTCTGATCATCCAATTAAGATAATTCGTCTAAATAATGTTGGCAAATATTCGTCATATACTTTAGACGATTATTGCATATTTGAGCATCCTGTAACTTATGTTCATATTATGAGCACAATTTTCTGATCATCCAATTAAGATAATTCATCTAAATAATATTGGTAAATATTCGTCACATACTTTAGACGATTATATATTGCATGTTAGTTGAAATAGCTGTTGAGCATCCTGTAACTTATGTTCATATACAAAATGATCTAATCGAATTATTTATTAAATGGCTAAATTAATTACTATATCATTACTAATGAGATATAAATTCCCTCTATCTACTTGGAGGCATGCCATATTATATGCAGCAACACTTGTGAGAATTATACCGACAAGTTATAATGCTTATTTTTTCCAACAATTGGCGTTTGGTGATATGACTAATATTTCTCATTTGAGAACTTTCGGTTGTGCAGTTTTTGTTCCAATTGTACCCCCCCTAACATACGTAAATTGGGCCGAAAATTGAAAATATATGTTGGATATGAATCACCTTTTACAATTAAATATGTTAAACCATTAACTGGTGATTTATTTATTGCAAGATTTGTATATTGTCATTTTGATGAATCATATTTTTCGATAGGGTAAAAAACAAAAAAACCCCCTATGATAAGCCTAATACACAAAAAAACCCCTTATGGTTTCAAAATATACAACACGACACCTCATGTTTTGAACTAAATTGTAAAGGTGACGGAATCTGTTAAATTTAACGAAAAT